TTTATCTGACCTCTCACCGGAAATAATTCCGGAACTTTCTCATACATGTAATTTAAATACACGAATGCACAGCTGTCTAGTTGATAACTTCGTCGAGAAGAAAATTTTTTTCTCTTCAACCGTCTTTTTTGATAATTCCTATGATCCAATGTGTACATTCATTATAACAAATCTCCAAATGAACTTCATCAGCCAAAAGTTGTTCTCTGTCTTTATAAAAGATAAGTTCCCACCTCCATTTGCGTCTCTCTGTTCACCTGCTCTTATGAAGCAAGGTAAATTGGTTGTAACCAAAGAATGCATTACATATTGATAAGACAGTAGATTCCAATATGGTTTTACAAGGCAGAAAGGAAGACTGTACGAAGCTCCATTCTCGAAAATGATCGGATTCTATCAGTCTACCAAACTCAACCATGATTATAATATCATTTGTCTAATGCACGCTATCTTGGCGTGTTTTCTTCTTCCTAAACTTCTAATGACGGCGGAGGCCGTTGTCATTTATTGATTCAAGTAAAACCCTTGTGTACAAAAGTTTGTTCAGTCCCCTCTTTCTTCTCTGTAGAGAGATAAACATTTATTAAATTTTCATTTTCTTTATTTAGTCAGTCTATTTACCTCATTGCTACTATTATAATCATTATGGAACCACTGAAAACCATCTGGGAGTACTGGACAGCTGTTTCGCGCTAGTTTGGGATTCATCATCAGTACGGACCCACTGACAGGCTTCCAACCTAGAACCTTCCAGTTACAAGTTGGGCCCATAGACCATTCAGCCGTCAGGACCCAATTCACTGGCCCATGAATTCTAACTTCTACCGATTCGTAATTTTAGCACAACAACTGGCCAGTGTCATCGGCGAGCATATGTCTTCACTCCCGACCTAGTGGACTTCATTGGTAACAACGTCTCATTAGGACGTCTTCCTGCAGCCAGCCACTGGTAATATTACTACTGTTAGAATAATAAGCCTGGTGAAGTGGTTCATTGGCCTAAGCACTCATCTTTCAGTCAGTGTGTCTTATTTTCTAATCCCACTACATTTAGTTCAGCCTGAACAACTAAGTAGTCTGATCAAGCTTCATCCTTTAACTGCGCCTCATAACCTGATACATGAAAGACGTGTTTTGGGGTGAATAACTTCAAATAAGTACTACTATTACCGCCACTTTTTCTGAAAACTCATTAAATTTTATAGAAAAATCGTTTAATATCTTCAAAATAATTAGATAGAAAACATAGTCACGCCATTTTGGCTTTATAGTGCATAGACTTTTTTAAATACAACATGAATTAGTACAATGACGAATTAGTATTCTGGAAGCAAATTATCTCCCCTTTGTACCATTAAATTTCAAGATTAAATCTAAGAATTTTACAGGCATATCCTTTTTCTTTCCGGAGTTTTGTATAAGTGTATCGGTGGTTCGCCAACCAAGCATATCATCTGGGTTTTGACTTCCGCCCTAGGCACTTTTAAACCTCAGCTAGTCGGTAGAAAGTCGGCTAAAGAGAAGAAGTTGGGCTAGCATGAAGCCAGCAATCACACATCGTGAAAACAACAACATCGCTAATGAAACTTCAAAGTTCAAGCTTGAAGCCTTATGTTCCATTCAGATGAAAAAAGTGGAAATATTGAAAGTCATGGAATGGCTTAATTTGATACTCATCAGTAGTACCCATTGAGCAAGCATTGGGTTAGATTCCAATCTGCCGTGAATACTGAATTTTTCTGTCAGCTCGTGACGTCACCAGTCAGTGGCTTGTTGATAAATATCAGTAAGGCATTTCGACAGCATATGTTACTCTAAATTAGCCTAGTAACTGATGCCAACCTGTGTGAAAACAATCAAGACTTAATAATCACATTGATTATCTCTCATTTTTATGACAACACGTAGACTGTGAGCAATACAGACCTCATGCGTCACTGAAACCTACTCTAATCCTTAATCGTAAAGACAACAACAACCGTAACATTAAAATATGACTGAAAACGAACCATTGATAAGAGAGTCTCTGTTGTCTCAAATAACATTAAAAATAGTCAGTGGCGATGCTCAATGTAAGTGTATTTTAGATGACAACAACGAATCTAAAATTCACTACTAAGTTACAGGACTAATCGACAAATATGAGGATTGGGAAATGCAAGAAGCGTCATAAATGTTCAATAACTGCAATATATAAGTATTTTTAAGACTACAGACAAAGATTAGACAATTTGTTATTTGTTCCATTGCTTTGCATTCCTAGTGAAATATAGTTATACAAGCTTGTTTCCGTAAATTTTCTGTAGATTTGCTGTGTGTTACCGACTAGGGCTGTTGGCCTCACATCTAACCTTACCCTTTTTACCGAGCTTACCAGTTACGTGAGGCTTAGGAGTAAGTCGGCGACCAAGAATGGAACCTCAGACCGTGTGTGACGTGGTTGGTGTGTATTCTACCACTGAACTACCAACGCAAGATCACGTAATCTAGAGGTATACAACCAACTCTTAGTAATTAGGTTCCACTAATAATTCCGTTTCAGTGCACTGAAAAATTATTTGCTTTTAAGTATAAGAGAATTGAAATTCAATCAACATTTATTTAGTTAATACACTTCAAGTTGGTACACATAAGTATTCGAATGCGGCTGAAGAACAGCTGTAAAAAAGATTAGCTGTCTTCACCCTACAGATATTTTCATTCTTGCCATATTTAAACGAATCAACGCGACTGAGTGTTCGAAACAGTTTAAATGGTTGGGTATTGTTCAATAAAGAAAAATCTAAGAATGAGTGGTAATGACAAGTGGAACGTAGGACTTCAACCTATAAGCTTTGAAGCTTCATTGACGATGTTGTTTCTTTCTCATGAGATGGAGTTGGTGGCCTCACTCCAAAATTTCCCTCTTTTCTACTCATACTGCTGGTTAGTCAAATAGTCAATGTTCAATAGTGCCTCAATGATTTTCCTGATTGCAGTAGATTGGATAATGAAACAGAAAATGGGCAGGCAGCGAGGAAACAGGCATAAAATGGACCCTCACGAAAAACTTGGAGGATCTGGACTTTGCCGATGATGATATATGTCTGATTTCCCACAAAATGGAAGATATGCAAGTGATGAAAAGCAACAAGTTGGCAGAAGAAGCATCCGGAGAAGATAGGACTCCAGGTGAACGTAGAGAAAACAGAGGTGATGAAGATTCCTGGCCAACACCACCAACAGCAACAACAACAACAGACAACAATCAGCCAGCATAAATGGGAGGAACCTGAAAGAAACAACCTCCTTTACCTACCTAACTGGGAAGCATCGTTTCAACTACAGGCGAACGGAACTGACGAGGATATCAAAGCGGCGAGGATCGGGAAAGCAAGACAAGCTTTCATTACTCTCAAGTTCGTGTGGAGATCAAAGTCACTAAGCACTCAGCATCAAAAATAAGATCCGGATTTTCAACTCCAATGTGAAGTCAGTGCTACTCACTGTACGGATCAGAGGCTTGGCCAGAGCGTCACGAAGGGCACTTCGAGCAAACTACAGACCCTCATTAACAGCTGTCTTCGCTCAATACTCAAGATCAGATGGCCAGCGAGAAAACATCAGCAACAGGTATCTCTGGCAATGAGCGAACCAACCAGGAACTGATTATGAAAGAAATAGGCAGAAAGAAATGGAGGTAGGTGGATTGGCCATACTCTGAGGAAAGAAACCATCAAATGACATCACTAGACAAGCCATTGCTCGAGTGGAACCTGGCCGAAAGGGAAGCGGCGAGTTGGTCGTTAATCCAAGGGTGTCTTGGAGGAGGTCATGTGAAGAGGAGATGAAAGGGTGTGGGCAGATTTGGAGCAGGGTGAAAAAGTTGGCAGAAAACCGAAGGCAACGGAGACATTGGGGCTGAAGCCCTATGTTCCTCTAGGAATTAAAGGAAATAATAATTACAGTGCCTCAGTTGGGAGGCAAACTTGCACCAGCTGTATATTTGGTGAGGATTTTACCGCCGAACTGCTGAGATACCTTTAAAAATAGTATTCAATAAACTCACGATAACTTTTATTCTGATTACAGCTGTTCGAAAACTTACATGAAGATAGCCAGCAAGCTAAACAAAAACTACCCAATGAGATATTCAAAACTAATTCCATCCAAATATAAAATCGAAACACAAAGTTGAATATTTACTAGTGAGAAGCAACAAATTATTGGGGGGTGGGTGAGGGCAATGAAGAGAGCACTTTAGTCGATTATAGAGGAAATAGAGGTGGTATAGATACCCGAATAACGACAAATCTAATTCCTATCAATGAGAAGAATATAATAAGAGTCATCGCTTACACTTAAGTAAACTAGGCAACATAATTTGAACTACAGGCGACACAGATGAGAATGTTAAGGGCAATCAGGATAGGGAGAGCAAGACAGATAGGTATTACTGTAAAAGTCGGTATGGAGTTCTATAGTATTCAACAGGAAGAACAGTGTCCAAATTTTTAACCCTAATATCAGGTAGATCACTGCTTCTTTTTGACCCACAAACTTGATGTACATGTGACCAATAGGCTGCAAACGTTCATCAACAGCTACCACCTTCCATCGATGCTGATGACCAGATGATGAGATTCAAAGGGAACTGTGGCAGTTGACTAGATAACATCCTGTTATCCAATAAATGTGTCGAGGGATATATAGAGGTGGATTGGATGTATGCTTAGACATCCTGGTGACATACGCCAGTCCGCAGTATAGAATTTGTATGGGAAGAGACGGGTTGGGCGTCCGAGCGTCACATGGAGATGATAATCTGAAAAGGGAATGAACGTTTTTGGGCAGTGGTAGATGGCAGAGAATCGAGTGGAATGAAGGTGTTCCGAACGCAAATATGAGTAATAATAATAAAATTAATATCAGAGCAGAACTGAAATGACCAGTCAGAAAGAAGAGGTCACATAACAAATACTAACAGACCTTGAATTCATAAATATGTGAAAGAAACTTACTTATTAAATACGTATGTATCTGGAGTCCATATTTGTTTAGCTGGTATACGTAAAGTTCTTACATTCCCAAATTCTGTTTCATTCCATTTTAAATAAACATCTTCCCATATCTGACAATAAAAAAAAATAAACGAATAATTTAATTCAATTTGAACTTTCCCGTTGGCTCATTGTGTTCGCTTCTGTATTCGGCCTCTGTTGACATGTCGTCTCCTTCAGTGGACACTGCAACCATGTCTGAGGATTTAACCTGAAATAATTTGATAGATGGCAACTAGCAGCAAAGTCCGTCAAGAAGTGCATTTCGTCTTATCTGGGACTCATCAACCGCGTTTACGTACATTCCCCAGTAAGTAAGTAGTGGTGTTCCTACTGAGGTTCGAATCCAGTACCACCCATAATTGAAACTACCATAGGTATATGTTTAAATTAATAGAAACTTTCACAAACTCAACATTTGAGACTAGCCCAAATAGCTCAGCGATGACATTTTGAACTGCGACACTGGATGACGGTTGTTCGAATCTCATAGGAGACATAAATCCCTTCAAGGTTGTTGAGAGCCCTTGTTTGAAAAGTGACAGTGCGCGTGAAACCTAGGTTTTGGGCTTTCTGTTGATTACCTACATCCAACTGTCTAATACTAAAACTGTATTCATCAAAAATGTGACACTAAGAGTTCCATTGAGGCAATCAATAAAAGCCTGCAGATTTACCGTCATTCAACATTGAGTTCTGGACTTCACTGTTTGAATAGAGTGGTTAATTTGAGGGTACATGGTTAAGCAGTGTCACCATGTGTTATACTAACCTATTGCTTTTTGTTGGTAGGGAAGCTGTCTGTACATATCGGTTTAACAAGTTCGAAAGAGGAATACATTTATTATCTTGAATGATCAAGTCGCCATCCTGCTGCAGCTTACGAATAGTAAAATAGGTACTTTCGGTTTGAAGGACCCACTATGAGTGTCCAGTGTCACCCAAACATCCGACGATCATATAAAAATATTTAGAGAGATTCATGTACATTCAGCTGATGCGTCTTAAAACGGAGGAATCTTGGACTTCACTGTTAGCCACCTAATCATTCAAGTAATATTTAAAACAGAAATTATTAAGTACCGATTTTAAGTTAGATGATGAATCGGCTGACATCATTTAGTGAACTGTTGGAAACCACAGAGTCACTGACAGCTTTCCCAAGCCATTTTGAGTCTCTTTAGCATTTTTTGACCATCATATCACTAGGAAATGAACTCAGAAGCTTTGTACTACAAGGCGAGTCCGTTGGTCATTCACACCCACGTGAATGTAATTCAGTGGTGCATAAATTCTAACTTCTATCAATTCTCGTTACATATCCTCACTATCGGCCAATGTCATTGGTGAATATTAGTCCTCACACCCGATTTGTTGAACCCTACTTGTTATACAACTTCTCTTCATCCTGTATTCGGTCGGTAATGAGCATCAAAATAATTTTCCAGTCTTGAATTATACGCATTTAACTGATTGCTCAGTGTTACAGAAATCCGAAGACTTACAGGCGAAAACCGACACAGTGACTGAAGAAGCAGCCGATGAAGACAGGACTCCAGGTGAACATAGAGAAGATAGAGGTGACAATAACAATAACAGACAGCACCAAACAGTATCAAAGAGGAAGATTTGACAGAGGTTACTTTCTACTCCCACTAATCTGGGAAACACGATTTCAAACAAAGGCTAGTGGAACGGATGAAGATGTCAAAGTCAGACAGCCAGAATCAGAAAGGCGAGATACACCTTAATCAACCAATCTGAAACCAGTTGGAAAATCTTCTCCACTCAGCAGTCAGCATAAACAACAAGATTCGGATTCTATTCAACACAAATGTGAAGCAAGTCAGTCATTCAGTTCTTCTATACGGCTGAGAAGCTGGGTCAGAGTGTCACAAAAATCATCTCCAGCAGGTCATTGCTGACTTTTATCAACAGCTCCCACCTTCTATGACTGGCTCCATACTGAAGATGAAACGGCAGGCAGGCAGGTCGTCCGGCCATCGAATAACATCACGCGTTAGCTGGGTCATCCGGCGACTGGAATCCAAATAGGAAACGACGAGTGGTTCGTCACTTCGAGGGTGATATGGAGGAGATCGTGTGTTGGAGAGACGGAGGAGATGGTAGATTATGGGCAATCGCGGAGTTAGCCAGGTGAAGTGGACGGCAGAAAATAGAACAAAGTGGAGATGTGTAGTTGAAACCCTATGTTCCACTCGGAACTCAAGGGAATAATAATAATGAATAAACTGAATACTCACTGGTTACTGAACACAGGATGAATTTATCTGGATTTCTGGTGAGAAACTGTGACCACTTATGTCTACAGTGAGGAAAAACAATCACTAATTTCAGTGAACAAAGTAGTAATATATATATATATATATATATATATATATATTGATGTGGTTGTGTTCTATGAGCTGGATAGTTAATTTACGAAGCTTTCATCGCCCTACTAGGCGACATCTTCAGCGCATACTTCAATCTGATGAAGTGAGCTTTCAGATTTCTCCACGAGTTTATCAATCATCTCTCCTGGTGACCTTGGATGTGATTGGTTGTTTGTGTGTGTTTCCACACCTTTTAGGTTACTTGTGTTGGAACTGGTTGTTTCTTTGACTTGAACTTTGACCCTTTGTGTGTGAGGTTTCCTTCTTATCGGTTGGTAAATTTTGTCGATATCGATGTGTCTATTGATGGATGATTCACTGGAATGCCAAGCGTCTAAAAATTCTCTGACATTCTTGTTGTTTTCTTTGTTTAATATTTGAAGTCTGGTTGTCCCAGTCGAATTGATGTCCGTGGTTGTCTGTATGTAGTGAAATGAGGGAGTGGATATCATGTCTTTTGACGGCTAGCTTATGATCATGGATACGAAGAGGAAGGGGACGTGCACTTTGGCCAATGCGGTGTTTTTCGCAGTAGTCACAATATATTTTGTAGATGATGTTGCTTTTATCTTCTTTCGCTGGTGAGTCTTTTGGCTGACACAAAGCCAGCTGAGTGAGGTGATTTTGTTGGTTTGTGTACGACGTCAATTTCGAAAGGTTTGAAGAGTCTTGTAGTGATTTCTGAGATATTCTTGGGGGTATATGTCTTTTGATAAAATGATCAGAATCGCCATACCATATATAAAGAATATCTCAGAAATCACTACAAGACTCTTCAAACCTTTCGAAATTGACGTCGTACACAAACCAACAAAATCACCTCACTCAGCTGGCTTTGTGTCAGCCAAAAGACTCACCAGCGAAAGAAGATAAAAGCAACATCATCTACAAAATATATTGTGACTACTGCGAAAAACACCGCATTGGCCAAAGTGCACGTCCCCTTCCTCTTCGTATCCATGATCATAAGCTAGCCGTCAAAAGACATGATATCCACTCCCTCATTTCACTACATACAGACAACCACGGACATCAATTCGACTGGGACAACCAGACTTCAAATATTAAACAAAGAAAACAACAAGAATGTCAGAGAATTTTTAGACGCTTGGCATTCCAGTGAATCATCCATCAATAGACACATCGATATCGACAAAATTTACCAACCGATAAGAAGGAAACCTCACACACAAAGGGTCAAAGTTCAAGTCAAAGAAACAACCAGTTCCAACACAAGTAACCTAAAAGGTGTGGAAACACACACAAACAACCAATCACATCCAAGGTCACCAGGAGAGATGATTGATAAACTCGTGGAGAAATCTGAAAGCTCACTTCATCAGATTGAAGTATGCGCTGAAGATGTCGCCTAGTAGGGCGATGAAAGCTTCGTAAATTAACTATCCAGCTCATAGAACACAACCACATCAAAATCATCCACCCAGTTTTTTTAGTGGTTCTTCAACTGATGTCAGCTCATGGTGAAATCCTCCATTCAACTTAACAAAATCCCTACAAAACCAATAGTTGAAAATATACATATATCGCAAATTGACAGAAGTGTTGGGATTGATAGAATACTTGATAACATCCACATGGGTAAGTAATCAATTGATTCGCCTTTTAACCTGATTATCTTGAGCTCAATCCAAGGTAGGGTGAGTACATCTGAACGATCCTCAACTAGGCCTGAAAAAAGGACACATTGTTTCACTGGTTTTCAATAATTTTCTAACAGATGTCAGTTCATGATCTAACTTAAAAACAGAAATTATTTATTTTTCACAAAAAATAAATAAAATAAAATAACACTGACCTGTTCAAGAAACATGATAGTTGTTAACACTTGATTCCGTTCATTTAATCCACTGATTTGTTGTAATCGTATATACAGTTTAACGATTAATTTTTCTGATATATTTTTTAATGGTCTAACGCATAATTCATAATTTTTCATAATATATCTATAAACTTGTTGTTCATGTGGTATTGCAATATTTTTATATAAAGCTGAATTTGTCTGATTATTAATAATTTCTTGAGCTAAATAAACAAATTATAAAATAAAATCAAAATAATTAGACAGATAGCAAGAAAAATGACAAAAAAAGAAGAGAAAAGAACTGAACAGTCTCAGTTATTTCAGATATAAACTATTAAATGTTACCTATTAAAGAATGGCAAATAGTCAGTGTTGATCGGATACAGTATAACTTAGAGAAGTTTGTAACCTTAAAAGAATGACCTATATTAGAGTCATCAAGCAAATTGCATAGTTTCTTTCAGTAAGCCTCATATTATTGTTATTTTGTGAGGAATTACTCTGAAACTGATGGCCTGTTAACGAAGATAAATGAGGACAAAAATTATCCCTTTCGTGTGATCATCAAGTTTTGGTTTGCAGGGATTTGAATGGTTCCAGGACTTAATCACTGGGTGAAATCATAAAAAGAACTATGGCAAAACCAGGAAGTAATAAACGGCCGTTTCGCCCTAGTCTCGGACTATTTAATAGTGCGCTCCCACTGGGGGAACTTCAGGCCTCAAAGCGAGCTCGTAGATCATCGAACCACTGGGATCCGGTCCAATTACTCAAGAATTTCAACTTCTTTGATTGGAAGCCAGTTAGTAACTAGTATAATGCATATAGTCCTTCGCTTGGTGCAGACTGAATTCAGTCAGTCAGCTTTGCAACTTGGCCAATCTGCTAGGTAACTTGACATTACCGTACACTCTGAAGTCTTCTTTGGATGGTTGAAGGTAATTAGCAGTAAGTCATGCACTGGTGGCATTCAGTGTACACCAAACGAAGCACTAGACGCAGGATACCAGTTACCAACTGATATCCAATCAAAGTATCCAAAAACGTCCTACAGGAGGTCAATTACTAGCTCGAATAGGTCAACGTCAACAGCTCTGACTGCAGCACTAAGTGACACCGGTTCGAACCTCCAAGCATCTAATAGCGAGAATTCCGGCTTCTTCCGATTCGCACATTAGCCACCCGATATCACTGGAGATTAAGTGTTCCCTTACCTGACTTAGTGCACCATACTGGTTACTATATCTCACTGGGACCCCAAGTGACTTCCTGCATAGAGCCAGTCGCTGTTGGCTGAAGTGAGTGATCTAATTTAATATCTGATTCCGTTCTACCTCTATGCTGTTTTAGAAAGTATCACCCCAAGCTAAACCACTTCTGAGTTAAAGTTCTACTTCAATTTTTCAGTCAGTAATAAAAGTGTTTCACGACCTGGCTTTGATATTTTTAAAATCTCATTTAAAGTGTATTTCTGATTTTAAAACTAGCAGGATACTTTCCATTTGTATTTCAGAAGGTATTCGAATCCGGTTTTCTCACTTCTGAAGACAAAAGCACTGTTTGCTGTCTTCTTCAGTCTTGATTGGTCTAAATACAGGACTGGATTAGATATATTGACTGGCGACTGAGAGATAACCAGTGTCAATAATGTCAATGTATTGTTAACTGCCCTATGCTCTATGAAGTCCTAATTCAGAACACTACTGAATGAACTACGTGATGCAGCCACTAACCATTTCATTCCTAGGGAATCATAATAATGGAGCGAATCGCTAACTGCTGGTAACGGAATTAAACTACCCTACAATTAAAGATCCAAATGCACCTGTAACTACCAACTATTACTTCAATATCAGACAATAGTATCAAACTTGCTTGATAAAGCTTGACAGGTAGTCTAATATAACCGATGAATGTATGATATCTATAAATACTATCAAAACCATCAATGAACAAAACGTCTTTAACATGTTTTTGCATAACATGCTGAAATTTCATTGTTTATAATTCATTAACTTGAGGTATGTCAGATGACATCATGTGTCTGATACAAGTTATTAGTTGTAATTAATCTTGGATTCTTCTTCCCTAATTGAGATATATCCTGAAGATTGGATGACCATCCAGAAAGGATTAGAAACAAAATACTCTGGGAACGAACCAGGCAAGAACCTACTGCTCAAAAAATATGCTGAAGACAGCAGAGATGGACTGGACACACGCTAGTGAAACCTTTGGGCGACACTATACTCCAAGCGATCAATCGAATGGGACCTGAACTGGAAACAGTGACTTCGGTGTGTTTCCAAGGGTGATATGGAGGACACAATGTGAGGAGGAGATGACAACCTGTGAGCAACTGTGGGGTTAACAAATGAGGACCTCAGGGAACAAAAAAAAATGGAAACGTGAGGCTGAAGCCCTGTAGTCCGTTTGGAACCCAAGGGAATGATAATATAATAATATGATACTTCTTGCCTAATTTCATCCTAGTTAGTGGTGTTATTCTCAAACAAAGAATGCGATTCTTCATCTTCTTACTTAAATGTAGTCAGATCCGTCCGACAAGTATTAAAAATTAGACGAACTGTATGTCTTAAATCCCCCTGTTAGATGTTACTGAACACACTCATATTTACAATGCACGTCGCTTTATCGTTTGACACGATGAGTAATAGGTTTGAATGTCAATGAGAACACCAGTGACCCTTTGGAATGGAGATACATCCAGCCTACAAATCCTAAATAGTAGTATACGTGTCTCCTAAATTCTACTGCTAACTATCATCAAACAAATAACATCATATTAACCTTCAGACAATGTCAAAGCATCCAAATGAAGCGTCAACCTGTCTAGAGAAACCGAGGATTTGGGTTCAATAAAAGTTAATCAACGGGAAATACAAAATAATTTAAATAAACAAAAAGTCGATCAGTTTCACTTAATATAAGTCAACAATATAAGCAATGCTAGAAGTACAAATAAATAATGTTAAAAATAACAAACATATTTCGAAAAGGTGCAAAACATTTATTAATTATAGTCAATCATTATTTTCACACATTCTAATTTTCAGAGTTCATAAGAAGTAGAAACAAATTATTATTATTATTATTCCTATTATGAAACATTGTACGCCTTGAACTGTATTTGTTTTAAATTTACGTATTGAACAGTGAGTGACCTTGAGGGTGAGATGAAAAAGCCTGTAACACAAAATACACTAATAATCCGACTTATCTTCTTTATAGTTTGGGAAAAATAAAATGAAATTTAGATTTTCTAGATAAATATTTCTTTTACGACTGCAAAAAAAAACAATAAAACGGTTTTGTATATCTAATATTCTTGAAGTATCAGAATTCCAGTTTATTTGGATTATCAGAATATCCAGATGATGGCTAGGTGTAAAAGAAGGCATTAAGCTCTACTTATTTGTGAGATTTCAGTTACTTGTTCAATACTACAGAACTACAGGGAAGGGGGTAAAATATAGCATTAAGTTCTTTTAGCAGAATGGAGTTTTTTGAATTTCCCTATCGGATTCATCTACAGATAAAATTATTTGAAACTGTCAATTTATGAAGATAATTTCTACTTAAATCACAAGCTAGCATCAGTTGGACAACCACTGAAAGCCAGGGAATAGTAGACAATTGTTTCGTTCTAGCCGCAGGCTCTTCAGCAGCAGGCACTCATGACCCCGAGGGGGATTACGTTATATTGATTAGTCACTATAGAGTAAAATATATCATGCGACTAGTCTATAGGGCTGATTAGATCTTATTAATCATGATTACTATTCGGTCACCAAACCATATGAGTCATCGTCACAGTACACAGTGAACAGATGTTTGACTGTCGTGTAACATCGAGAAGACATTAGGTAGCCTTGTAACGAGTATCGATTAATGCTTTTGGTATTTGAGTCTTCATTACTAGCAGGCATCAACTAGAGAGTTGATATAAACCGTTGCGTACTGGTTTCATTATAGTTTGAGACTTATCAGCACCGATAATCGTGTACAGCCTCAATTTCAGAATTGCCAGGTTTTCAGATGAATACATCAGGATTCATTCAGTAGGTTGAAATTCACTAGTATGTGAATTTTTACTTCTCTCATTTAGCCAGATAGTGTCACTTGGATGAGTAATTATTTTCAATCAAACCTTGGTCAACCCTATTTGTTATGATTTTTCAATAAAACGGTAAGGAAATTCGGTCAGCTTGTTGATCCAGAACAGTAGAGATTTATTTCTAAATCTAATACACTTTGAATTTATTTTGTGTCGTTAAAGGCAGTCTGTTAGAAGCCCTGCATTTTGGTTTTGAACTTACTCGCAGTCCTCAGCGAGTCCTCATCTGAAATTTCACCAGAAGTCATATTTCATCAGAAACTCAGATTTGCATCACCCAGCTATGCAGACACATACGTCAGTATTGAGACATTTGGATTCAAGATTAACCTCGAAAACTTTAATGGAGATATTGATTTATTGATAGAATTCAGTCAACACCAACAATAGGAAGTAGACAGTTGACAGTGGTTATTCCCAAGTAAGCAATCAGTGTCAGTCTACTTCAAGTTGAAATGATTCAAGTAGCTCAATGGACTATTTGTGCCTACTGCCACATAAACTTGAAGATCTGAAGTCGAAAACCATCAGGTTGGCAGAAAAAAGCAATGAAGAAACTTATTAAAGTGAATGCAAACAAAACAGAGATGATGAAGATGACTAACAATGAGTACCAATCATTATAAAAGGAGCAAATTCGAAGAAAGTCGTTTCTTTCACTTACAACGCAGGTAACATCGTTTCAACTAAAGCTAGTCATGGTAGGAAAAGCAAGACAGACTTCAGTAGTCCGAAGTCAGTCTGAAATCTGCCCTAAGTAAAATGAATAATATTCAGCCCTTTTGTATGGTACAGAGACTTGGAGCGTCACTGAAAACATTTGATGAAAAGGCTAATACCAACGTTTATCACAACACCTGCATTCACTCCATAATGAAGATTCGATAATTTGAAAGGATATGCAACATGGAATTCTGGGTGGCAATAAATCGACCAAGAACCCATAGTTCAGCCAAAATGCGGAATAAAATTGAGATAGATTGGACTAACACTGAGGAGGCCATTGAGTGGCAGCACACGCAAGACAGGCCCTAGAGTGAAAACCAAGTAGGAAACGACCACTTGGATATGGATTTGAGGGTGGCATTGAGGAGATGACAGCTTACAGGCGATGTTGGAGGTAACTACAAAAAGCTTCAGACAACTGGATGGGATGGGGATGTGTCGCTCGAGCCCTATACTCCATTCTGAATCTAAGAGAATAATCAATAGTTATAGTGATAGTCAATCTGGTAGGGCATTAGCCTAGTAATCCGAAGAGCTGCTGTTTTCCAGATTTTAACTGAAAACTCTAAGTTTTCCATCACTGTATGAATAGTCGACATCCATTCCAAAGTTATCACAGACAATCTCACCATCAATCTGTGATGAAAGTTTAGAATGAATACAAAAATGTTAATAACAACTATAAAAATGAAAAGTAAAAGTTATTCAAATAATTCCCATTTACTTACTTGTCAGTTGATCAGTTAAACTTTCTTTCATCCATGACATCACCAGAATAGTGGTGATGAATATGTGTAATAACATCTCAGTGAGGATTTTCCAGTTGTCTTACGGTTTTTCGAGGATTTTCTTCGAAGAAATACACACTAATATGATAACAATCATCTTACAGAAGTAATTTAGCTTAGAAAAAAAAATTTCACGAATAACAGAGATTAACCAATCGAATAATAAATTCTATCCTTTCAAGTAGCCAATAAGAAACCGACATTTTATGCATTATAAAATATAAGCCAATAGAAATCAAGATATAACTGTCGATAGATATTTAAAGGTCATTGTATGACCATGTAAATTCGATTGAAGAATTTAGGTGACTATCCTTTACAACAATAACACTAATGTAGGACATCAATGAGAATGGAGAGGATTTCGTTAATCATCTAACTTACAAGTCTCGAATAAACTTAGATTGGAAAAAATAGGCAATTTCGTATTGTTTATTCAAATATATATATATTATATTTTCAATCAATTATAGTGACTACAAGGACCTTTCGCCCAACAGATATGCACAAGAAAATGAAGACAGTCTGGACATATTCCGGTGAGACTACCGAGTGACAAGATAAACAGGGCAGAACCTCAAGTGAAACCCGAATGAGAAACTAGGGATTAGTTGGGTGTCCAAGAGTGGCATAGAGGAGATCATATTAGCAGAGAACGAAAGCTTAAAGGTAATCGTAAAGACTTGTGAAACTGACGCCAGAGAATGAGGTGAAATTTATTTGTTCTTAGATCAATAGGAGCAATCAGCAGGTAGTCCTGGACCTAAGCTTCATACTCTCCGGCACTCATTAGCAAGGCATTCTTAAAGGAACTGATGTACTTTCTGAGATTCGAGCCCACGTCCCTAACTGCTGAAGTCAATCAGGCATGTCGCCAGTGAGTATTCAAGCTCGTCATTGACCTTCTATAGGACTGTAATGGATACTTTGATGATAAATCATCTTGGATGGTGACTGGTAAAATTCAGTCTGCATCAAACGAAGAACTAGACGCATGGTATCAGTTTCTACCCAGTGTCAAATCAAAGAAATCGAGATGTTCTGTGGAAGACCTATGTCTCATCCAGAACCAAAGGTAATGATAGGAATGATAGAATAGGGGCGAACTGTGTAATTAGTTACAGAGAAAAAATAATAATAATGGCCACGTATTTATGCAAACACATATACAATCATTTTAATTGAATTTTAGCTTTTCCCGTCGATTGATTGGACCGAAATGCTTGGTCTCAGGTTGACATGTCGGCTTCTTATGCAAATGCTTCAATGGTGTCTGGGCATTTAATTAGAATTGAATTGGACTAATTGCAATCAGTCGACGGGAAAATCTAAAATTCAATTAAAATTAATATGACCCGTTGCACAAGAGGTGGCTCTAGTCGCCCAAGTCGTCTAGTGGATAACTCTTTGGCGTTGGAAACTATGGGAACTGGGTTCGAGCCTCGGTGGGAACATCATCACTCACTGGGGAATGCACGTACATCCAGATGATGAGCCCCAAATAGGACGAAATACGCTTTATCCTAGATTCCACTGCCAGTCGCCATCCACCAATTATACATGCAATCAAGTAATAATTGGTCAAAGCTTGAAAAACGAATACTGAGATTACGTAATACAACGGTTTAAAGTCATTAGTCATACGAAGATTGAATTCAGATATGCCGAAAAGTTATAAAAGGCGGGTTAGAAATACATATGTAAGACAGTATAATTGCTTAGGCTTTGCTTAACCAGTGGAAGGAATATCACCATTAGAAATATAGAAAAAACAGCAGATTGAGTAAAGAAATATGCATTCTTTTTCAATTAGTTCCTCATTATCGGCTCTACACTGATACATAGTTTTTTACACCAAAAGTTTTACCAATCAGGTGGTTATTTTAATTAGTCACTCTTAGGTGTGGGGGAGTGAAATTAAAAGGTTAAAAGTCATTATAACAATTATCCAATAGATGTTACTAACAAGATATCTAAGTTTTAAAGGAGGGGTGAAAAGTAATTACGGAATTTGAGATAAGATGATCTTTAAGAGTTGGCAACAAGTTATTGTATAATCAAGAAATTTGTAAACTAGCAATGATGACTCAGAAGAGTTAAGAGAATTAGCTAGAATTGTAAAAATTGCAAAAATAACAAAGTCAAAAAGAAGTTATAAGGGGAGGGGAAAAATCATTTTTTTGAAAATTAATAGATATTATGAAGTTCGCCGTGGCAATAAAAGAGGCTGTACAAATTTCTTTTGAAAGCACACACAGATTTTGGCTTGTTCAGATGAATTACGTTTGCATCTGCAGTATTTGAAAGTGTATTCGTAAACCATGCGACAAGTAACTTGAAAAGCCTTGTTGGAGTCGATTTGATGTCCAGCTAGTATTGACGAAATGAGCTAGTATTAAGCTGTATATAGCTTTATTCGGGACTTCGCCAAACCAAAATTGGAGGTGTTCCGTGTACTCCAGTCGCTCACTCATAAGCAGAAGCTCAAAGGACAAGATCTCTCACCTGACCACTTCTGTGTGCATATGCCAGTTCACCAGTTGCTATGAAGCCAGCCAGGTACATCGGTCATTCGACGCTCATCCTGTCAAAAAGGGTTAAAGAACACTATCCATAATGGTTACGAAAATGCAATAGCATGGTGCAATAGGAAATGCGATAACTGAACACCTGGTTAGCACTGATCATTCCATCTAAACAAACACCTCCTGCTTCAAAGTAATCTACAAAGTGAAGAACAACCTGCCAAAGACATTGCGTTTATGTCTTCTTTGCGTTTCAGAAGCCCTAGCCCTTCAGTTAGACGAACCAGAATTATGCATACAAAAGAAAATTATTCAACCACTTCTACTATCATGGTAACAACTCCGTTGATTTGACTTAACTTTTTCTTGTATGCTTATGTCTTCTTTGCATCGCAGAAGCCCTAGCCATCCAGTTGGAGGAACCAGAACTATGCATACAAAAGAAAATTATCCAACCACTTCTACTCGCATGGTAACTACTCCTTTGATTTGACCTAACTTTTCTTTGTTTGTTTGATTTGACCTTACTTCTGTTTGTATGCTTATTTTTCTAACTTAAAACCCTTGTGTAATTCTGTATATTATTTTGTTTCCATGTACACCCTTTGAGCACAACTCATTCATTAAACAACTATCCCCTAAAATTCATTAGGAAGATCGCCAACGGCCAAAAGAAAAATAATTGTAAAACTAGTAATAATAATAAATAAAAGAGAATATAATTCATCTACAGCTATACCATATGAGGAGGGGACACCTGAAACCCCACATAAGATTCTAAATAGAGCAAGAATTAGGGTGGCATTCAAACATACAAACTCACTCAGGCTGGACAAGCTCTGTAGGTTAAAAGATCCAGTCGACCCAATTAGACAAAATTATATAATTTACAAAATACCCAGTAATGACTGTGAGTCAAGTCAATCACATAGGTCAAACTAGCAGGTTGGAGGTAGTCAGATTGTCGGAACATAAGAATTTAGCTAAGGGAAGAATGGTTGACCCCGAGAAGATAAGTAATTTAGAAAAAAGCTCAGCACCGCATTGCACTCCATGCATGCATTAACACACAACCACACAATAGGGTGGGAATGGATTAAAACTCCAAGAAGTAATATAGGTGAGTGGAGAGAGAGAGAGAGAGAGGTTGATTACTGAATCCTTGTTCATTGAGTCTACACCCAGCACATGCAATAGGAATGACTCATCACTCATACTGGAAATATGGAAAATACTACTAACCATCATCAAATCAAGTGAAAAACAATGGAACTATATAAATGAAGTTAGGAAGTCGTGTGGTTACCTTGATATGATTATGAGCAATAAATTGTGCTCGAAACGTCATCAGTAAACATTACTGTATAATACTGTGAGACTTTATCAAAACAAAATTTACCTATAATGGAATTGCACTCTACCACATTGCACATTTATTTTTCTTATATCAAACAATATAATGGTCTTCTTAAAGATGGTTGGATTGGACACTAGTAGCTAATGCGATGTGTCTAGTCCTTTCTCTGGTGCAGACTGAATTCTGTTAGTCAGGTTTGCAATGTGGCCATCATTCTATGTAGCTCGCCATCACGGTGCACACTGATTTGATGATCATAGGTGGTTGGAGGCAATCGGCCACACGAAGCTTTGCCGACCTAGGTTTCGTGCTAGTTGGCACTCACTGGTCAACAAGGCGTGTCTGCAACCTTGGAGGAACTCAGAAAAGACATGAGTTCCTTGAAGGTTGCAGACACGCCTTGCTGACTAGTGAGTGCCAACTAGCACGAAACCTAGGTCAGGCAAGGCTTCCGGTCGACTGCCTCCAACTATCTTATATATTAAAGATGTAGAATGTAATGTTGATTTCTTTGCCCTTATATCGATGACACATTTATAGTTATAAGGAAAGAAAGACAGACTAAGGACATATTGGATACATTGAATACATCACATACTGGCATAAGCTTCACCAATGAAAGGAAAAAATGACTCTGTCCTCTTTGTCGACATCCTAGTGATTAAAGGAATAGACGGAACAATATGTAGACGTTTGTGTAGAAAACCTACTTCAACTGGACAGTATACACACTTCCTGAGCTTCGTAACTCTACAATACAAACGTAATCTGGTTAGATGTCTCGTTTACGGGGCTAGAGTTATCTGTTCAATTCAGACACTGAACGATGAACTCGGTAATATTTGCGATCTACTAAGTAGAAACGAATATCCAACTAAATTCATAAACAAACAGATGAAGTCAGAGAGTAAAGTGTCGAAATTGCCGACTGTCCCCAAAAAGTTGGTCTTCCTAAGGTCAAAATTCACAGATAATATCAGTAGTGAGACCTTATTACAACGTCTGAGAAGGGACTTCAAATGGATTTTCTATGCAGTTAAACTATGCTGCGAATATACTAGCTGACCAATACTTAGTTCAAGAAATAAAGAAAACTTC